ATTTTATTTTGTTCTTTTTCCATTGGATCTGAAATACATAATCATATTCCACTATTACGGGATCTTTTGGCGTAATATCATTCGAATCCGAAATTTTGATTATTCTGTTTTGGTTCTTAGGGATTTACATACTTATATCCTTTCCGTTGTTGTATTGGTTCGAAAGCTTCGAAAATGTCCTTAGAATCTGCTCTGGGTGAATTTAACAATGAGGTCTCCGACAATCCTGCATGTGGGGTATGCGGACAGAGTTTCTCTGATGCCGCTCAGGGTAGACGTACCAATTGTGGACATTGCTTTCACAAGTCGTGCTTAGAAAAGTGCCTAAAGTTGAGACCATACTGTCCAACGTGCAACACACGCCTATTTAGTGAACCACCCCCAACACCCTCAGGTGCGAAAACTAGATCTCAATCTAAGCAATCAGCTAGTGCTCAGCATGCGCCTAAAGCTTCAGGTAGCACTGCGATATCCCAAAGTGGATCTAGTGGTGCTGTCGGTGGATCTAGTGGTGCTGTCGGTGGATCTAGTGGTGCTGTCGGTGGATCTAGTGGTGCTGTCGGTGGATCTAGTGGTGCCTGTGGTGGTAGTGATCATGCTAGTGTAGATCCCGACAGTCTTACAGAGATGATAATGAGTAAAGTTGCAGCTCAGCAAATGCAATTGTTTTCTGCCTTTAGTAGTCAAGTGGCCAAGCTTGTGCAAACGAACATTGAAGCTGGTTTGTCTCGCTTAAGCGTTCAGGAACCACATAGAACACCTACGACATCGCATGCTCATACTCAATACACTCCTCCTCAAATTCCTCCTGTTGATCAGCTCGCACTTAGGGATTTGTTAGGTATTCCGGTTGACAACTCTGGGAACCCAACTAGGTCGAATAGTATTCGGAGAGATCCATTAGCAGAGACCACTCTGTCAAACGTGTCATCCTCTTCGGATCTAACCTCTAGGCCCGATAAGGTACTCCATATAATAACCAACTGGAAGCTGAAATTTTCGGGTAGTTCCAGCGGGTTATCAATAGAAAATTTCATTTACCGCGTCGAGGCTCTTACGGTGCAGACGTTGCAGGGCAACTACGATCTTTTATGTAGAAATGCCAGCCTCCTGTTCGATGGTAAAGCGGCAGATTGGTTCTGGCGATACCATCGTTCATTGAGAAATCTATCTTGGCAAGATTTATGTAGTGGCTTAAGGAAGCAATATGGAGATTCACGAACTGACGTGGATATTCGTGAATTAATTCGCGACAGAAAGCAGAGGAATAGCGAGAATTTTGATACTTTTTACGAATCTGTCGTGGAGCTGACAGATCGTCTTAAAGAGCCACTTACTGAAGACACCCTTGTTGAGATCCTCAGAAGAAATTTGCTGCCTGAGATCCAGCATGAAATCTTGAATCTCAAGATTTCATCCCTTCAGGATTTAAGAGATATATGCCGGAGACGGGAATTCTTTTTACAGGATATACGTCGAAAGCATGGCTCCTTTGTTTCAAAACCCCCTGTATTTTCCAAAAGAGTCTCCGAGGTTAACGAAGTTGTAGATCAGGATGAGGTTAATCAATCCATACATGGAGGCGAGGAGATCTTTGCTTTCGGCTTGGTCTGCTGGAACTGCAGAAAGGAGGGTCACCGCTATCAGGATTGTTTGTCCAACAGAACCATATTCTGTTATGGATGCGGCACCCCCGATGTTTATAAACCCAACTGTAGGAAATGCAGTTCAAAAAACGAGAGAGTAGGTGCACATCTGAGTGCACAGAATCAAGGGAAGGTTCAGGAATTGGACCTCGAATAAATATTTTAAAAAGGCATGCCTTTAATAATCCCGAATCCGATATAGATTCAAAAACACCCACTTTAGATACAGACATACCTAATACCAATAAGTTCGTTATAAAACCACTACATATACGTTTACGAGAATACTACAAGGCAAGAGATAGAATATTTGGGGAAAATGTCAGAACTTCGAGATCGGCAGAGCGGATGAGGTCCTTCTGGAAGAGTGTGCGTAATATGAGGAAACAATTCGTGAGTTCGGTGTTCGATAGACCCTCAGATGTTCGTCCTTACGCTGAGGTTACCTTGTTCGGAAGAAAAATGTTAGGGCTAATGGACACAGGAGCCTCTTTAAGTTGCCTTGGTGGCAAAGCAGCTGAAGAGTTTCTACGTTCTGGTAAACCATTTAAAAGAATCAGTTCTATTGTGAGAACTGCAGATGGAAGTAGCCAGGAGGTTGTAGGTTTTATTAAAGAGAACATAACTTTTAAGGGCATTGACAAGTTGATCACTATTTTCATAATTCCCAGTCTGGATAAAGAATTGTTTTTGGGTGTAGATTTTTGGGAGTTATTTGATTTGCTTCCCAAAGGTTTAGTGAAGGGTAATTACCTTTCCGACAACTTGTCATATGTCTCCACTGTATCCACTAAAGTTTCACTTTCACCTATTGAACTTCAACGTCTCGAACAGGTTGTAAGATTGTTTCCTTCATTTTCTAAGGAAGGACTTGGCAGGACTAGTGTTTTGTGCCATTCAATTGACACTGGTTCTGTCAAGCCCATTAAACAAAGACATTTCCCGGTGTCACCTGCAGTTGAAAAACTGATTTATAGCGAATTAGACAGGATGTTGGAACTAGGCGTTATTGAGGAATCCAATAGCCCTTGGTCCTCACCTGTTGTCCTCCATCGCAAACCCGGAAAGAACCGTCTTTGCTTGGACAGCCGTAAACTTAACTCCGTCACAGTGGGTGATGCTTACCCGCTGCCACACATTGACGGCATACTCAGTAGACTGCCCAAAGCTAGTTTTATTACCGCCTTGGACCTCAAAGATGCCTTTTGGCAGATTCCTCTTGACCAACAATCGAAAGAAAAGACAGCATTCACCGTTCCTGGGAGGCCGCTGTATCACTATACAGTGATGCCATTCGGGCTTTGTAATGCCCCACAAACTATGTCCAGATTAATGGACAGAGTGATACCCCCGGCTCTCAGGACGGAGGTGTTTGTTTATTTGGACGATTTGCTGGTAGTTTCGGAATCATTTGAGAGGCATCTTGAGGTTCTAAGGTTGGTTGCTCAGAGGATCAGAGAGTCAGGTTTGACTATTAATATTGAAAAATCTAATTTCTGCGTTGAAGAGGTAAAATATCTTGGACACCTGGTAGGAGGTGGCGTTATACGGACGGATCCTGAAAAGGTATCCGCTATTTCTGAGTTCCCGGTACCTCGATCTATTAAGCAGGTCCGTCGATTTTTGGGTATGACGGGTTGGTACCGGAAATTTATCCGGGGCTACGCTACTATTGCCACACCCTTAACTGACCTAACTAAAACTAAGCGCAAATTTGTATGGTCCGAAGAGGCCCAAACCGCCTTTGAGACTTTAAAGACCCACTTGAGCACCGCTCCAGTTCTACATAGTCCAAACTTCTCACAGCCGTTCTTTATACACTGTGATGCAAGTAGAACTGGTATAGGAGGTGTTTTGGTGCAGAAAGATGCGGAGGGTGAAGAGGTTCCTATCGCCTTTATGTCGAAGAAGCTCAATCAAGCCCAACGTAATTACTCTGTCACCGAACAAGAATGCTTGGCAGCAATGCTGAGCATCAAGAAGTTTAGAGCTTATGTTGAGGGGCATGAGTTCACTGTCATCACTGACCATGCGTCTTTGAAGTGGCTCATGTCCCAGACGGACTTAAGCACACGGCTAGCTCGGTGGGCCCTAAAGCTTCAGGGGTATAAGTTTAAAATTGAACATAGGCGTGGCAATCTTAATGTAGTACCGGATACTCTCTCCAGGGCCAATTCTGATGACCTGTCTGAGCTGGAGATGGGTAGTTTGTTTTCCTTAGAAGACCAGTCCGGAATGTTCGTGGACTTAAATTCAGCTTGTTTCAAATCTAAAGAGTATTCCCAGCTTCTAAAAAAAATAGAGGAGAATTCGTCACAAATACCGGATTTAAAAGTCATTGATGGTTATGTTTATCGGCGAACCGAGCATGCCTCTGGCGACCAAACCGTTGATGATTTATGCTGGAAACTTTGGATTCCGAAGGATCTTGTTCCCGAGGTCCTGCGTAGGGCTCATGATGACCCTTTGGCATCTCACGGTGGTATAAACAAAACACTGTGCCGGATTAGGAAGTTTTATTTTTGGCCAAACCTAGTAGTTGACGTACGAGATTACGTCAACAATTGTGAGATATGCAAGTCCTCAAAGCACCCGAACACTTCTCTTAGACCACCAATGGGGAAGACAACCGAAACCCAACGCTTTTTCCAAAAAATTTACGTTGACTTTCTGGGACCATATCCTAGGTCCCGTTCTGGCAACATTGGGATCTTTGTCGTTCTTGACCACTTTTCGAAGTTCCCTTACCTCAAGGCCGTTAAGAAATTCTCGTCGGATATTGTGGTACAGTACCTAGAGCAGGATTTATTTCATACTTTTGGCGTTCCAGAGTTGTTGGTATCGGATAATGGGTCGCAATTTCGCTCTCATCACTTTGGCCAGTTTTTAAAACGTTACGGGGTACGGCATATATTTACAGCATCACATGCTCCGCAGGCTAACGCCTCGGAGCGTGTCAATAGATCAATACTATCTGCCATAAAATCATATATTCATACGGATCAGAAGAACTGGGACGAACTGTTAAGTAGCATTGCTTGTTCCCTAAGATCTTCTAATCACGCTGCCATCGGAACCTCTCCATACTACCTAGCCTTTGGCCAGTCAATGGTGACGAATGCCTCGACGTACCCTTTATTACGCCAGCTGGAGGTACTTGAAGATAGGTCAGTTCGATTTGACAAAAACGATTCTCTTGCCTTAATGGGTGACCGTGCCAGGAAGCATATGCAAAAACAACATGAGCGTAATGAGCGGACTTATAATCTCCGATCACGGGAGGTGTCCTACAGAGAAGGCCAAGAAGTTTTCCGACGCAACTTCAAGCAAAGTAACTTCGTCCAAGGTTTTAACTCGAAGTTGGCGCCTACTTTTATAAAGGCCAGAGTTCGGCGTAAAATCGGAAACTGTAATTACGAGCTGGAAGATTTGAGCGGTAATTTAATAGGAGTCTACCACGCTAAGGATATACGCCAATGAGTCCTCTTTAAGGGCAAGCGGAATCAGCTTTGTTGGACAAGTCTATTCCCCAAAGTCTGATCTTGCCAGGGGGGTGTTGTAGTGGCGCTTGCCCTACTGGATTGTTTCTTCATTCTTTTGTTTTTTTTTTTTGGAATTAAAACCAAACTTAAAAATACCTACTGTAACGTATTTTGAAATGCCACCTGGATATGAAGTTGTTATAAGGCAACACTTTATCCATAAGCGCATTCGTTTCTCGCTACTATTTGTGTGCTACATTTTTACTCAAATACTGGAATTAACTCGCTAGCATTTGTAATTGCCGAGGGTTCAAGCTGATAAAGATTAGATAGAATCGTCCATTTTGTCATCTAACCCTTAAGAGGAAGAATATAGTTCATCCAAAAATTTCTAAAAATAACCTTGTTCACCTTCAGAAAGTCATTAAATCAGTTCAAGTTGCGGTTATAATTTTGGTTGTGTGACTGTAAGAAAATCTAAATTTGCAAATATTATTAAATAATATTTATCAAAGCATACAATTTGTTTAGTGGCCACATAATTTTATGCATTTGGATGATAGCCTTTGAATCTCTTTAGCAATTACCCTATGGAATAAAATCCATAGTCAAAGAGGAAGGTAAATCAAACATTATTTCCTAAAAGTTCTAAGAAACCCTATTTAGTTTCTCTCCTCAATCATTTATTTCTTTCTACTAGACTCGCATTTGATTACAACAATTGTTTTGTGAAGGAAGAGATCTTATTGAACAAAAGCTTTTGTTCTCACAAAACACATTTTTCGGCCTCACATATTCCCAAACCGCAACGCAGCGTCAGTGTGATTTTTAACTTTTACTCCAACAGCGTCGATTACATCAAGACGGGCAAATGCCCTGTGTCAATCAATAACCAGAAATATGGGAGAAATGTGAAATTTGATGTATTATTACAAACTGCTTTATTTTCAAGATATGAAGAAAAAACCAATTTCGGCACGAATCGGGATATATTCAACCAGATCAGCTAGATATCACCTTGTGAATCTGGTGGAAGTTTTTTATGGTAGGATCAAATGTGTAAAGAGATCAGTTATCAAACATAAATCATAAGCAAGTAATTTGTTTTAAAACGAAAACTTCAAATCAAACAATATTAATAGTGTTATACCCCAGTGATTAAGAAAAATTACGCGAGATTATTTGTCTACCACATCAGTAAAAATAATTAGAATATAATTTTAAAGTGATTGTGATTCTTTAAATATTCATATTTAATTATATTTTATATTTATAAAATCAAAAGTTTAATTTATTGGTTTGTTAAGTGATACAGTTATAATCCATCAAAGATCATCATCTACATCAATTACCACATGTTTTTTTTTCACTTACATGGTCTAATGATCATTACTAAAATTATTCCATTCTTCTTTATTACATGGTGTAAGTGATGTAGAAGATAGTCTTTGATGAGACAGAAAAACGCTGGTCATGATTAATTGAGAACCATTCAGGGACGACTCTCATTATCAACATCAATATTCAGCAACCGATCTCGAACACATTCTCATTTATTCTAAATCATATACTGTTAACTTAACATGCCTCTCTTGCCAGCATAACATCATCATTAACATTACCCTGTAAAGGTCAGTAATTACACCCTGAATTCGCCGAAAGTACTTTCTGCGTGGGAGCCACAAAATGACCAAGTAAGTTTTTATTATCATTTTTGTTTTGATTACATACTATGAACAACTGTTGGTATCATGGAGGTATCGTCAAAGAAATAAAGCAAAAGAATACACCAATTGAGTTCTTTGGCTTCTATCTATCTCTGCTACATTATTTACATTTTTGTTTTCTGTTTTTTTTTTTTATTTTTGTGATCGGGTTTGAAAGTGATACCCTGAAGAAGGTTTTGTTGATTGATGAAAGTCATAATCAGTTCGACTCAACTATCTTTGGGATCATAATATTTTGAGTTGCTGCGTAAGAAGTTGATAAGCAATAATAGTAACTGGTTCAAACATAAACAGCTTTTGGATTTATTACGTTTCTTATTCTAAATTGTTTATTTAGTTTTTGCATGCATAATTGATAGATATTATTTTTTCCATTGTTAGAACAAATACTTATATTGAGCTCATCGCAATGCAAGTTACATTTTTGGCGTTCGCAAATGTGTACTTTCATAAATCTAATCTACAATTTATTTTATTTTTAATTTGAAACTCTAGTTATGATTAAGGTTAAGGATTCTGTTTTTTTTTTTTTTTTTTTTTGTAAAATCCTTTAATATGAAAATAAAATTAATTATGAATTCTGAGTAGATCACTTTTTTTTAACTTTTTGATTTCCCCGTATAAAGTTGCTTGCTTCATGAGGTCCTGGGGGTCACTAAAATGTCTTTTATCTCCGTTTGGATTAGTTATTAATGTGACCATGGTTGGGAGGGCGCAAGAGCACATCAACAGCTGTAGCTCTGGATCATTTGTAGTGTCGTCTTTCTCACTCATCAGTTTGTCTCCTACCTTTTTACTTCTTCTCCTTCCCCTTTGGGAAATATCTAGCTCTATTTTAATTTTTTTCACCAAATTGTATCTTCGAGTTTAGAAATCATGGTGTATCTTTTCGTTCAATCATTAACAAGTACACTCGAAGAAAAATTTTAGTGCACGCAATTTGTTTTATGTATTTATTATGTTCAGTGGATTTACAAACATGACAGTAGATGAACCCAACCCCACCGGCGAGCTAATAAGGCCGTGTATCTGCGTGCCACTGTCACAAAAAGTTTGTTGTCAACATCAGCCACAATAATTCAACCGTTATATGTTACAATTATTAGTTGCACCACGTATTCAGTATCCTGAGTTTGAAGCATTATTCAATTATTATGGCTGTCAAAGCAATATTTAATAATATATATAGCCCCACATAAGTGAATTTCCACATTTTTAGGGATTTTTGGGATAGTCGATTTGATGATAAATCAAGTTTTCACATAATGTATAAGGTATAGAAAGTTCGGCCCAGTCGATCTTGACGTCGTTTTTATTTGTTTAAGACATCATGTTTGAAGGTTTTATGGACCTTAACAATAAATCGATGTCCATTAACGTTTTTTTAATTCTACACCTTTGCCTTGTCAGATCTCTAAATTTTTGCACATCCTCTAACTCGTAATCATATTATATTTCCAAATAGAGCTTAGAGGACCTATAGACTCCAAAAGAACATTTTTACATTTTTTTTCAATTTTCCATTTGTTTAGAACCCACCCAGATTGAATGTTTAAAGATTTGTTTGAAACACTGTATTGGTAGGGGTAGGTATTGCTGCTAACTACAAAATTTTTTCGATAGAAAATAATTACTCTAATTATAAAGGAAGTATTACGGAAGAAGCAGGACTATTATACATACATAATATACACACACACACATACATACAAAGTAATTACAGTTTCATCTTTTCAAAACCGACACAAATATCCTGCTTACGTACGTACGCCATGTCCCGTTGGATAGTTTTATTCTAATAATACCGGAGTAAGTGATTTCATGTATAAATATGTTTTGTAGGTATTTCTTTGTGTGTGTGCATGCGTCTGTGTTAATAATATGGTTTTAAAAGTTTATGCTTGATATTTTGACATAATCCTTTGACTTAATTACATTTTAAGAAGACACATGCACACACAACAACACCAACGACTTTATTTCTCCTCTCTCCACTTCCACTACTGGTTGGTTGGAAGTGGTTGGTTATCACATCTAATGAAATGACTTTCATGTTCAATGTGGTTGGTGGTATTTTGGGTTCAACATCGGAGGGGAAATACACGAAGAAGAAGAAAAGGAATTACTTTTGTATTCTAACCAGTCAACCATCCAAGCGTTTCTAATTCCACATACGCCAGCAATAATAAAAGGTTAAGGAAAACGATGAAGCAACAAAACAAAAAAAAACACAATTTTATTATTCTCTTTATTGCCACTTCTCTCTGTCTCCTCTCTCTAACTCTTTACAATCTTCTGATTGTTAGAAACATGGTGCTCAAGTTGTAAGTTAAAAAAACAGCTGTTTTTATGTCAACAATGGAATTTTCTCTTTTGTTTGTTCCTACTTCGTTTTCTGGAACGTGGATATTGTTATTAAAAATTAAAGCAATTGGTCATAAAATTCTGGAATGCGTTTAAAGTCAAGTGTTACCATGTAATCGTAACTACTATATGTGGCACGGATGTTCCGTGTTTTTATTAAAAAGAAGAACAAAAAAACAACAATTTAAAAAGCATCAGTGGGCTTCGCCAACAGATGTACACCCTCAGCCAATGTTTGATTATTTAAATATGTTTTGACCTCTGTTATGATTCTTCAAATTGTTGACCCTCTGTTGACCTAAATAAATATGATATAAATATTGCGACGTGCCAAGTTTGGACTATACAGAGTAAGATGAAAAAACTGCAACCTACTTCAGACTGCTGTCATTTCAAAGCCACTCGTTCGACAGCTATTAAATTTTTTCAGTGACAGCTCATTATATTGTTTACAAGCATACAGAAGCATTTTGGTGAGAATTTTCCAGAAAATAAGTTATTCGTGATGGAATCCAAGCGTGATGGCATGATTCCTTCATATTTGGGTGGAAAATCAGCACTCCAGCATTTAAATGTGAATAAATCTTTTGTGTCTCGTACCATTGCACGTTACCGTGATACTGGTAGCGTAGCCCGACGTCAAGGAAGTGGACGGAAGAAAACAGCAACATCAGCAGAGAGGGTTCGAAAAGTAAAGAAGCGACTTGATCGAAACCTGCGTCGCAGTGGCCGAAAAATGGCTCGTGAGCTGAACATATCTCAATATTCCATTCGGCAAATATTGAAAAATGAGCTCGGGATAAAGCCTTTGAAACCCCAAAAAGTGCAAGAACTTACACCACAACAGGACATTCCATCAGGACTCAGCACCATCGCACTAAGCTCGCGCCACCCAAGAAGAGTTACAAAATGAGGTTCCTCGCTTCATTTCCAGCGCACAATGGCCACCAAAATCTCCTGATACCAATCCGTTGGACTATTGTGTCTGTCGATCACATCAAACCAGCGCTTTGCCGGGAATGGGCCAAAAGACCACAGAGCAACATTCGGGCAGCGTGTAACGGTTTCATTGTCCCTTTGAAGGCCATAATTCGTGCGAAAGGTGACCAATTCGAACAAATCTAAACTTATTCTAAAACTTGATGCTATTTCCGACATTTTTGCTTTCATTCAATAAAATTAAAAAGAATGTAAAAGATGTAGCGTTTGACTTTGTTGCAGTTTTTCTCACCCTGTAATGGTTAATTCTTTCACTTTATAGAAGATATATGATAATTTGTTTTAAATGTTAAAATGCGCGTGAGTTACCAGATACAGCCGACCCAAGTATTCCATGTTTATACTTCATCTAATACAGATAAAAATATTTTTGTGTGCAAAAAATCGAAATTTTTATATCCAATTTTATGCGAAATCATAAATTCTATTTTCATTTCAGGTTTCTGGTTGAGGGAGTTATGACAGATAAAAGTATTGGAAATTGTGACCCCTGGTGGGTGAGGTACCAGGAGGGGTTGGTAGATGTATATCATCTTCACAACAGATCTTGTGTTAGCAAAAATGTTTGTTATGGATGTTAGGATGTTAATTTCAGGTTTTATGAGCTTCATGGATACTCAAAATTTTGACCCTTTTCCCCAATTTCTTATTGGGAAATCTTTTACATATTTTTAAGGCAAAATATATGAACAAAATATTACAATTTTTCGAGCTAAATGTTCTAAAATGTTCTAAAAATATACCATTTTGGATGAGCCTTTAGCACCATGTCCAACTTTTTTTTATTCTGGTCATCAATTTTAAAGCTGAGTATGTTTTTGCAATTCTCTAGCTGATTTCGAAA